CAGAGCGACCCGACGGCCACGACACAGCAGAGAACACTGTACAACATGAGGAACGCCTGGGCTTATCTGCAAATCTCCAATCTCTGCGCGTGCGTGTGTGTGTGTGTGTGTGTGTGTGTGTGTGTGTGTGTGTGTATTAACCCCCCCACATCAGGATAAATGGGAGATCAGAGACTAATGCCACTCTGAAACAAGTGCAGATCTCTTTAGCACAACAAAAAGCCTCTTTACTGTCAGTGATACAGCAAATCCTCTTCTGACGCCGCACAGAGTGTGTGTGTGTGTGTGTGTGTGTGTGTGTGTAGGGGCTGCGCAAAAACTGATGCCATTTCAATATCTCTGACCTTAGAGGAGCACAACACAAGCATTCAAGAGCACTTTCTGTGTTTTACAGTGAGCGTATGACTGAAGTGTGTGTTTAAGCGGAGCTGTGTGTTCACGTGCGCTCCAAATAAACTCACTTCTTGAATATTTGAAGAGTTCAGATGCAAAACTTCTGCTCAGACGAGCGTTTCTGTGCTGTTACTGCACGCTAAATGCCATGAAATGGATCTATTCTCAGCTTGAGAAGGATTTGAGCTGGTTATTTGATTGTGTTTCGCATCTGAACTCCTGATTTCTTCTGTGTGTGTGAAGGCTGGATTCTGCTGCCCCCGCTCCAGCTCCAGCTCTGCTGCAGGCACATTTCCAGACACTCTCCAAGCAGATCAATACCTTTTTTGGGCTACACCAGTGAGACCGAGCGAGCATTCTCTCTCACACACACACACACACACATACACACACACACACACACATCTGCTTGGTCTTAAAGCCGTCAGAGAAACCCTGGGCCATTAGCCAGTGAGAATGAGCCATTAGGGTCCACAGCACATGCTGCACTTTAGATCACTTACAGGAGAAACAGAAGAAGAGAACAGAGAGAGAGAGAGAGGAGACACCACACAATTCTAAATTATTATAAGTAAATCCTAATATTTTAAATGTTAAATTGACTGTTTGATATAATAATTTGTTGTTTTTTTAAGTGTTGCTTATTAAATGCACCTAATTTATTTGTGTTGATGACTACTACTGATTGATTTTCTGTTATGTGTAATGTAAACATCACAACTGCCCTGCTGACACATCTGGAACACTGCTCATGCTAATAAAACAAGTTTGAGTTTTTCCAATTCAAGAGAAACACACACACACACACACACACACACACACACACACACACACACACACACTTTTGCTGCTTGTTCAAACTACTTTTAAATGAGTTGAACTCAATTCTTCAGGTTTTTGGGACCGACTTAATTTTTTATGTTTAAGCAACTTACATTTGTAAAAATGATTGAGTAAACGTATCAGATTAGTGTCGGGAGCGCATGAAGGAAGTGTGTGGACAACAGTTTTTACAGCACACACACTTCCAAAAGTCTACTAATGAACCACAATGTTGATTCTTCAATATTCTGTTTATTATTGTTTAATCCTATAATACTGACTGTTCACTGTGTGTTCTGTACATGTAGAACATTTATTATGTCAATAAACAAATTCATGAATTTAAGACAGAGAAAAACACATTCAAGAATCTGGCTTCAACACCGTCGATCTGTGACAACATGAAAGTATCAGCTTAACTTTTTTATTTAAGGGGATCGAACATAAAATAATCAAGTTGTCCCCCAAAAACCCAGAGAAGTGTGTTGTTTCAGCTCTTTTTAAAGAAGTAGGTTAAACTAATGCCATTAATGAGTGGAGAGAGAGAGAGAGAGAGAGAGAGAGAGAGAGAGAGAGAGAGAGAGAGAGGCCCACAGAAAGACTAGAGATGGATGAAGTGCTGAACAGAGAGGAGATCACGTCTGTCTACATGAAGAAGAACAGAGAAGCAGAGGATGGAAAAGTACCGCAGGATGGAGAGATGAAGAAGATGAAGATGATGATGGTTGAGCCTGCAGGCCTCGGAGAGCAGCTCTACATTCAGGAGCATCTGCTGCAGTAGAGCGGCCCTCAGCTGCTCGGGCTCCTCAGATTGCAGCTCTGGGGCCCGTCAGTGTTGGTTTTCAGCTCATATAACGGGCCCGGGGCTCACTATCACCATCAGCCGCTCATTTATTCACAGCGCTCACTGAAGCATACTGAAACGTGACGCTTACCTGCGCGATGTCTTCGGTTCCGTCCATCCGCGCGCGTTTGCACTCAGCCCCGGTAGAATCCCCCGCTGCCGCGGCGCCCTCCGGCTCCGGGTCTCCGCGCTTCATCCCCCGCACCGCGGCCGAACCCGAGTCCAGATCCCGGTCCAGGATCCCGCGGCTCACGGGCAACATTACAGATGCGACGTCGGTCGACATTAACATTGAAGAGGGCCGCAGATGCTGCGTATGAAGAACAACGAAGACGACAGACAGACAGAGAGAGAGGAGAGAGAGACCAGCGGCGCTTATGGAGCAGAACTGACGCGCATCTGACGCGTTAAAACCCGTTACAGAGTGACGCGCGCGCGTGCCGCATTAAAGGCCTTTGAAGAGCGACGCGTGCTTTTTCGGGCCCGAACGCCAAAAACTGTAGAAAAGAAATTAAAAAAGCTCCGAGCAAATCAGGAGGCGTTCAGGAGAGACGCGGAAAACCGTGGAAAGATCTGCGAGCTTGAACACATGGAGGGCGAACGCGGAGGAAACGCGTCTGGAGGGTTTGGATCTCGCTGGTGTCGAATTTAAATAGAAATCGGCAAAGTTCGCCTTTAGAAGCAGGCGTCGCGGAGAAACGCGAGAGAAACGCGATGCATCATTCCAGACCTTCGAGCGATTCAAGCGATTTCCTAAAACAAAGGAGTGGCGTGGAGCTGCTGCTGCTGCTTTTCCTTTCTTCTCTCTCTCTTTCTCTCTCCCTCTCCCTCTCTCTCTCTCTCTCTCAATGGATTCTTGCGGCGCAGAGGAAACGCACGCGTCGCGCCCCTCCTCTCCGGTTTCCTCGCGTTGCTTTATTCTTCCTGCGGTTTTCTCCGGTTTGAGCGCGGAGCTGTTTCACCGTTTAACTCCTGGGCCAGAACCGAACGCCAGATCGCGCATTAACACATGCATATGTTCTGAAACGCTGCGTTTTCTTCTCCAAAACCGCAGTGCTGCGGCCGGGATACGTCAACATGTGACGAGCCAATAATGAGAGAGGCGTTTGGAGAGTCCGGAGGGGAAGCGCGCGGGATTCATGCGGGAAAACAGAGAATGTGAAGAACAAAAACAACAAAGCGATATCGATTATTTATTCGTATGCGGTACAGTGTGTTCCTGCTGGATTCGCAATGGAAAATTAAGCAACACACACACACAGAGTCTCTCTTATCCTGCAGTGTTTGCGCGACATCTGGCGGACACGCGCGCTCATCACACACAGACACTCCAGAACAATACACACAGTCAAGTCGTGACTCCTGCAGGAGCGCGCTCAGTCAGGTTTATGTGGAAGCTCGTGCCCGCCAGTCAATAATAATAATAATAATAATAATAATAATAATAATAATAATAATAAACTCACAATTTCGAGTCATAATTCTAATAAAGTCACAGTTAAAATATGCTGATCATTTACATTATTTTGCATGATATACATGAGTATTTTCTGTGCTGAAAGTGCTTTTAATAACTCATAGAAAAGTAAAAGGTGAACATATATATGTAGAATATGTAAATTGATGACTATGTGCCCTCTTCTGTGTTTTATTTGTCTTGTTTTATCCTCGTTTGAGGCATGGGGAATGCTTTTATTGTGCAATAAAACTGTATATGCTGGTTTTTGTTAATAAATTATTTTGAAAATGACACTGGATGTGTGGTGCGATAGTTGTGAAAGCATTATGAAAATAAAACACTGTTCAACATGATCATTCTGCTGAAGTTCTACTCAGATTACAGCACTAATAACACATGCAGTTACAGTGTTATTTCTCCATCATCTGGAGGCTCGTCAGCTGTTCTGTCTCTATACACTATAGACACATGGTGCATCTCTAATAATCCACAATAATACCTAAATTATGATAAGGGCTGTCACACTTCAGATCTCTTGAAATGAATTAACACCAGAGTAACTGAAAACCCCCCGGAAACCCCACAGAGACTCTCCATTCTGAAGATGCTGGGCTGTTTTAACACATCACTGCCTCGATTATAAGCAAACCTGATGCTGGGTTATTTTTTTACAAATCTTATTTCAATTCTACTTTTTAACCCAGCAGTTGTGTTTGTCCATATTTGACCCAGTGAAATGTGTGTGTGTGTGTGTGTGTGTGTGTGTTTCAGTGTTAAACTTTTGTTGTTGATCAGACTTTCATCCAATTTAAAAGCATGATGTATTATTTTTAACCCTGCATGAAGGCGATGCGGTGGCACAGTAGGTAGTGCTGGTCTGGTTCGAGTCCCGGCTGGCTCAGTTTGTTTTTCTGTGTGGAGTTTGCATGTTCTCCCTATGCTAAATTTGTCTGAAGTGTGTGTATGAATGTGTGTATGGGTGTTTCCCAGTGATGGGTTGCAGCTGGAAGAGCATCTGCTGCTTAAAACATATGCTGGATAAGTTGGCGGTTCATTCCGCTGTGGCGACCCCAGATTAGTAAAGGGACTAATGAATGAAATGAACCCTGCATGACTGCACAACATTCATTCATTTTAGTTTGGCTTATTCCCTTTATTAATCATGGGCCACCACAGCGGAATGAACCGCCAACTATTCCAGCATAAGTTTCACACAGCAGATGCCCTTCCAGCTGCAACCTAGTAGAAGGAGACACCCATACACTCTCACACACACACACACACACTAGTGCCAGTGTAGTTGATCAGTTCCCCTATAGTGCATGTGTTTGGACTGTGGGGGAAACTGGAGCACCCGGAGGAAACCCACACCAACACGGGGAGAACATGCAAACTCCACACAGAAACACCAACTGACCCAGCCGAAACTCAAACCAGAGACCTTCTTGCTGTGAGGCCACAGTGCGACACCACTGAGCCAGCTAGAGTTCAGCATCTGCATGTAGGAGAGCTGCAGCTGGAGTTTCTTCAGTGTTCATCTGAATACTGCACTGTGAGGTCGTCATCTCCGTCTGCTTCCCCGCAGCAGCAATAGAGGATCTGCAAGATGTTACAGTAGATTTTCTCATTTCTTCCTTGCATCACCTGTTTACACCAAGTCTTTGTCTTGCATCAAACAGCAGAGAGTGAGAGAGTTTATTATGAAACTTTGCTGCTCTTCCTTCAATAACACACTCATTATTTCAGCCGGGTTTAAAACACACTCTACAATTGGTCGTGTCCAAATGTTCCAGCAGTTCCCCGCGGGACAGACAGTAAAATAAGGGCAGTTTGAGAGTGTGCTGGTCAGAGAGACTCACTCGGGCAGAGGTAGCGGCGGTGTGTGTGTGTGTATGCGGATCACAGGACCTGACAGAGCACAGGTGAGTTACCTGTCTGATATACTTCCAGCTTAGTGTCAGTGCAGGGGTCCACACATCCCTGAGTGTTAATGATCCAGCAGAGTAGATGCGCTCCAGAACATGCTGAGGTGTGACCCAGTCTGACATTGGCTCAGATATGGACTAACCCAACTGTGTTTAATTTAATTAGAATGAATAATTAAACATTGGGTTAAATGTATGGATTAACCATTAAATTGGAAAATTAACCCAACTGGGGCACTGTGTTGGCGCAGTGGGTAGTGCTCTCGCCTCACAGTAAGAAGGTCGCTGGTTCGAGCCTCGGCTGGGTCAGTTGGCATTTCTGTGTGGAGTTTGGATGTTTTAATTGTCCATCTGTGTGAATGGAGGAGGAAGTGTATGGGTCTTACCCATTGATGGGTTGCAGCTGGAAGGGCATCCGCTGCATAAAACATGTGCTGGATAAGTTGGCAGTTCATTCCACTGTGGCTTCCTATGATTAATAAAGGGACTAAGCTGAAAATGTGTACAGTTGAACAGTGACTTTTATTGACATTTGAGTCGTTTTAAATAACATTAAGATCTGTTTTGCAGTGTAATCGCCGTCCAAACTCAAACATCTCGGCTAAAACAAGGTTGAATCAGGGCCGTCTGGGAAAATTGCAGATGTGAAGAAAAGATTCTCTCTGACAGCCCAAATTTAGCCTTGTTTTAGCCGAGACGTCTATGTTTGGATGTCTATTATATGTCTATTAGACACACACAAAACAGCTTGGTGGAACTGAGATAAAGTTCAATTGATTTGAGACTTTTCAAAATCAGAAAAACAAAACAGAAGGAGGACATGAGGAGCCTGCATTCGGCTGTGCTATCCTGCATTAAAACAAGAGAGAATTGACGGTCAAATACAGCCAAATGTTGAGCTCAAAGTCAATTGGGTCTTTGCAAACTCTACATTATATTGTGTGCTTCATCTGTGCATCATCATGTAGACAAACCCTTCATCCCAGCCAGGATTGATGGTAAATATAATTAATCTGCCCATTTCTAATTTGAGACCTAAAAACAGAAATGAGCTGTAATCAACATCAAAGTCAGTCTGGAGATCACAATAAAGTTGTGCTATATTATCTTCAATTATGATTCAGAACTGAGTTGACAGGTATTGAGGTGTAGCATAAATGTGAAAGTGTGCAAATAAATGCACAATGTTTATGAAAACATCATCATATTAAAAGGTTGTCTCATTTTTACCTCTAGCCAGTGTTATGATTAATCATGAATTATTCAGGCCAGACGGTGGCGCTGTTGCAGTACAGAGGAGCTCAGAGAGCCGCTGAACAGACTCAAACACGTCACATTACAGCAAATGATGAAGGAGATCTGCAGATCAGCTCAGTCATACTTAAAGGAGACCTGTTCTCCAGAATTCAGCATGTGTAGTGTGTGTGCGGTGTGTGAATATCTCCAGCCTCTAATGGTGAACAGTGATTAATTGTGTTTGTTCTAATCAGACGTGATTAAGGAAACACTTTGATGGACATTCTCAGTGTCCCTGTATCTGTGGTTACCCTCAGTAAACAGCGGTGAGTTTGCTGCACTGATGACCTTCACGGCCAATCACAATCTTTTCTGTTAAGCATGTAAACACAACAGCCAATCAGCGCTGTTTCAGAACCTGCTGAATTTCAGTAGCGATTAGTTTAAAATTCCAGTAACATGACGACACTATTTTGCATTTTGATATTGATGTTCTTTGGCGCTGACGTTTAATGTTAATTTGATGTTGTTTTGACCTCAAGTTGATCAATTGTCATCTAATTCAGTGGTCCACAACCTTGGCCCATGGACCGGTACCAATCTGTGGATCAATTGGTACCGGGTCACACAAAACAAATCATTAATTATTTCTGTTTTGTCTATTATCTGAGTCTAAACAATCTTTTATTTTGAAAAATGACCCTATTCTCACGGTTATATCTCGGACCCTCGAGCACCAATACCGAACCCACAAGCAGCAAAATGAAAGGCCCGGTGAACGACCCATAAAAAGTCAAGGAATGGACCTGCAACCTATTTGTCAACAAATAAATCCGGCATGGCTGTGCAGGATGGTCAACTACTGGAGATCACAAATGACGGCCGTTCACGTATTGCATGGCGCCTTATCCGCGCACGAGTTTGTTATTTCCTATGGAGGCGCGTGACTTCTGTGCGCATATTAGGAGTAGTGCATACAACCCAGGCAGCAGATTACTCTGGCCCAGATTTGCTGGCACAGCAGGCATTCATCCGGCACTGGCTTTGGGTTTGGCAAAGGTGGCACCGTCTTTAAGGCAGCACAAGATTTGGGCCAGATGTAAAATGTTGTATTTGGTCCAGATGTTAATAATTGAGATGTGGGCCATGTAAGTTTGGCCCGTCTTGACCCACATTTAAAATTATTTTTGAGTAAAGAAAGAAATTCTACCAATCAGGTTGCTTTGAGAAAGCACGCCCATAGTGTGTCTAAAGTGCTTCATGTGTTTATTAATTTTATTGCAATCAGGACACACCAACATATTTGGCCCAGTTGAGACCCAGTTATAAGTTTTTAACTTGGCTGTGACTTGGCCCAGATTTGCTCCATGTTTGGCCCTTGTCTAGAAGCCAGACTCAGTCCAATCATGTACCATAATTCACTGGCATGTGGGCCAAGCAAAACCTGATTGTGTGGCCAGAGAAATATTGCTGTGGGAAGTGGCACGAACAGAGGTGCGACACACTCATGCCTCCCAGGAATACCCAGTTGAAATCATCTTCAGCATGCTGCAAGCATACTGAGAGTCACATAACAAGACCTGACCCATCAGTCTTGTATTTTGTACGGAATATACACATTTCAGGAGCACAGCAGGGCTTTTTAATTCTCTCCATAAATGAAACATCCCCCGCCACGGGCCATGGTAAAATTGTCAAGCGTTGACCAGTCCGTGGTGACAAAAAGGTTGGAGACCACTGATCTAATCGATTCACATCTTATTGAGGTGTTTTTAACGGCAGTGTTTCCAGTCAGATGGATGTGGATTTGACCTGAAGTTAGTCAGGTGACATCAAATCGATTCACATTTTTACGCCAATGTTAGAAGTCAATCTGGTGTTGTTTTGACCTGAAGTGAGTCAATGGACAACAGAGCAGTTTACACCTTATTGAAGTGTTTTTATCTGCAATGTTGGAGGTCAATGTAAAGTGAATTTGACATGATGTTAGTCAGTGAACATCAGATTGATCTGCAGTTTGTTATTGACGTGTTTTTGATGTCCATCAAGTCCATCAAGTTATCTTGACTTCACATCTACTTTTTAATTCTCGTTCACAGATCACTCGGTCATCATGTCGAACACCTCAGCTTCACTCCTGAACTCCAGCATCTCGGGTTGGCATCGTCCGCTGTGGTACCAGTATGAGGCGTGTGCGGAGGCTCCACACTGGTTTATCTTTTACTTCAGTGTGAAGATAGTAAACCTGTTCGCGGGTTTCCCAATGAACGCTCTGGTGATGTGGCAGATCCTGAAGAAGAAGAGCGAGGGGTCCACATCTGACATCTTCATCTTCAACCTCTCCGTCCTGGATGCTTATTTCGGGCTGATGACGCCGGTGGACATGGTCAACCGCCTCTACTTCAATGATCCCACAATCTGGTACTCCCAGAGGTTTGCGTACGGTCTGAAGGACACGACTCCGCTGTTCCTCACCTGTATTTGTCTGGACAGGTATGTAGCTGTGGTCCATCCCATCTTGTTCACCGGCACGCGGGACACGGGCATCCGCATCGGCATCTCCATGGTGGTGTGGGGACTCATCCTGGCCTACTCTCTCACCAAATGCATACTGGGTATCCTAAGTGTGAACGAGGTGTTCAGCGGCCTCATCCTCTCCGCCTTCTCCATCATGGTGTTCTGCAACCTGTCCATCATCTGGGTCCTCAGGAAAAGCGTGGCCGGGAAGGAGGTCATGAATCCGGTCAAGAAGAAGGCCTTTAAGATGGTGATGACGGTGCTGGCCATCATCATAGTGAACTATCTGCCGCCGGTGGCTCTAATGCCGTTTGCGTCCACATATTCATTCGTGACTCTCCACTGTAAGGTTCTTCTAGCCGTGTTCTCCATCATGGACCTGAGCTGCACTATTGAGCCTCTGCTCTACATCTCCAAGATGGATCAATCCGCCTTCTGCTCCTGCTTAAAGAGTCCTTCAAAGAAACCCATCAATGTGAGCGTCTGAGATGGAGAGATGTTTGCTTGTTGGTCTCAGGTGCTCAGTCCAGTCTTGTTCCTAGTCCTCTAGCTCCAGCATATCTGCCTAGATGTTTCTGAAGACCTTGATTGGCTGGGATTTGGGTTTAATTCTACAGGTTTGGAGAATTCTGCTGTAGATGTAGTCCTGATTAAAGAGATCAGTCTGCTTGTTCAGGCTCTGTCCACATGTACTCTGTATTTCCAGGAGCATTGCTTTACTCTGAGGTGTAGTTGCTTGTCCACATGAAAATGTAGAGTCCGGTGATGGAAACCAAAACAACCTGAAAACTCTGGCCATGAAGATTTACTGAAATCCAGGAACACTGAATCTAAAGTTTTTCCTCATGATGTCAGCATTTGCACAGTGTGACACGACTGAGGTGAATTATATTCATTCACATTTACTTGTATGCTGTTTACTCACACAAATACTGAATATAACGTTTGGTGTGAACCCAGCATAAAGGGTTTTTCATCGCCCCCTGTTGGTTTATCGTGTCTTAATCATTGCAGTAGATTTGTTCATAAACAAAGGCAGTGAAAACAGCATATTAAAATACCCGTGTTTGTGTGCACATGGCGGCAGATCATTCAGTGCTAAATCAGATTGTTCACCGGTCCACAAGAACATTTTCCTATAGTGTTTTCTATACGTTTTGGTCGTTTCTCCACAAATTTCAGATGACTCCAACAGTATCTCAGGAACTCTATGTACAGTGTGGCCACTAAAGTGGAGTATTTCCCTTATGACATCAGCAGTTTTCTGCTTTCTGATTGGCTGAAACAGCC